CAGAAGGCGCTGTTGCCCAACAGTGAGCCTCTCTGCTCCCATTCAGTCTCTTGCTAGCAGGTTCCCGTGCACAGTGATTGGCCCGGACACGTGGTCATGTGATGTGGTTCATTTTTTGAAAGTGGTTTTGGAGAATTGTATGTAAGACAACTTGCCATATTTGGCCATGAAAAAGATCCGTATTATCAAGTGAGATCCGCTGCTTTGATGCTGCATCTGGTGCTGTGTCGGATTTGTATTTGTATCTTCAAAGCCATCACGTGAATTACAGCAAAACCACTTGTTTATTGCCATTAATGTATATGACAGCACAATGGATGCTTTGTAACCAGAGACCACTTGAGTCAATGAACTGTTTAAGCACTTTCACACGTGATAATTGGGCGTCAAGAAAGTGTGCATGACATCCTCCTCGTGATGGTAATGGTGATGATGCCGATGATGAAGGAAACGGTCTTTGAGAAAGTTGATGGAGCTGGAAATAAATTACTTAGTTTGTATGCATAAAACTGCATGCAAGCCATTAAACCAGCAGGAAATGTGTGAGCGCAGCTCGAACACCAGGACATATACTAGTTTCATCCTCGAATTATCGTCAGGGAAATAACTTTTTATGAGGACATGCATGTAAAAAGTGACAAGCCTCTGATTTGATGCCCCCTCCATTCATCATACCTGCCCCACAGTGGCAGCCGTCCACACCTTAACACCATCAGCCCTCATGCAGTGCACAGGAAGAGGAGAGGAGGAGCAAAACTGCTCCGCACTCTGGGATTGGCCCGGAAGAATGAATGACATCAGACGTGTCGTGTCAGGTTCAATTGGGAGAAAAATGTACTTGAGCACATCAGTGATGCAGATTTTTCTTAACACTTTAGAGGTCAAGAGGCTCCAGTAAAACGGTATCATCAGGTATGTCCAGTAAGGAGCGACAATAAATGATATTATTTACTTAAACAAATGGAAAACAGGTCATAAGATTATTAATATTAATAGTCAGAGACCCAGTTATCAGACTTTCTTGTTTGTTTAAGAATTGCACATGGGACTTTTAGGCCTGCAAATAGTTACAATATCAAATAAAGTATTTTCTATTTTGTCGCAGTGCACCTCGGTTCCCATTTCTATCATGGCGGTTAGTCTACAACCTCCCAGCTTCCTCCTTTCTACGACTTTTCCTCAGTGCACATCAGTGTAATCACCGTTATTGAGTAAGTGCAACTTTGAGGATTATTTATGGGCCTGCGCGGTGTTGTGAGTGGCTGTGAGGAAACACGTGATGCCATTAAAGTTTGTTTTATGGCCCGGGACTTGACAAGCCAAAATATAATTCTCATTGTGTATTAGAAAGAGCGTGCAGATGGGTTGGATTGCAGCTGGAATTGGAAGGGAGCTCGTACCAAGGCTGCTTTTTCCTTCAACGTGGATGTGTTTGTTCCACGGCGTGCCATGTGTTTCGGTCTCTGTGGTAAGCTGTGTTTTATCATTATGCTCGTGGTATGGGCGTGTGATGTCACACGCATAGTACTCCGGCTGTACTGTTTCCTGCCTCTAAAAGCGGCTGCAGCGCGCGCTCAGACGACCAGAGATAGCTATAATGCTGGAAGGAAATCGTGTTTAATCTCATTACTGAGCCTGGTTTGGGTTTAAACCTCTTAAGACTCAATCGATGCTTTTTCGGATGGTGCTATTCATGTTGTTGGTCTGATTCACTGCCTTATTATGTCGTTATTTGATAGCTTTAGGATTCTTATTCACTTGGAGGCGGAGGGATCAACCTGTTGTCACCAAAGTTTTTAAAGTTTCCTAAAGAATTTGGGGAAATAGTTTCAAGGACCATACAAGTTTGTTTTTTTTAAATCTCATTGTATAACAATTGTATTGTAGCAATTTGAATAATTCACAATTCGTTTGTGCAATATTCGCTAAAGTGTTAATGATATTGAAATATGTAAACAACTAAAAAAAACATTGATTACAACAATACAGGTTACAACAATGAAATATTTTTTTTAAAATATTTTTCACATTATGTGGCTGCTGCTTTATTCACTGTAGGCCTTGATGCTTTTTATATGCAGCCTTTCAAATTATTAATTTCTTCAATCATTGTTAATTTACCTAATAATGGTTAAATAATATTTAAAGCAAAGTTGAGAGGACATTTAAGCTTCTTCTTTTTCTTTAATCATTGAAAACATGCTCCCTTACTTCACCCGGAAATTAGATTAAATAGGCCTCATGTTTTCTCTTGGTACTAATCACTTAGTATGGAACTTTTTAGTAGCAAAACCTTGTTCTTGTGAGTAAAAAAGAGTCCAGCTGAACTAGATAGGCTTCTGTTTAACACAAGCTGCCAGAAAACGCTGACTTTATCATTCTTTTGTTGTGATTCTCGGCTTTGACCCGTCTGAAGACTAGCAGGGGAAGGTGAAAGACAGGTCAGGCTGTCTAACTAATGCTGAAATGTGAAGTGCAAGAACCATTTTTAAAGACTTTATCATTTATCTTTTAACTGTGGTCGAAACGAATATTTAATGTCTGCGGTATAACAATACTCTTTACTTCGTATTAAGAGATGCAGAAATAAGTTACTTTTTCTGTTTTCTGTTTTATTCCCACGTTTTGAAGGCCTGTAGTGAAACGTTCAACTTCTCAACACGAGTCAAGCTGAAATCGTAACCAACACGTTACATTAAACAAAAGGACTTAATGCCCCATCCAGTGAAAAGGCCTAATCAGTTAAACGTTACACGCTTATTTTCTTCTTATTGAAGCAGAACACATGGGCTGAATGTCTGGCCCAATCTTTAATCACGCTTTTCAATAAGTGTCACGTGAACCCATGTCTCGCGTTTGACCAAACATTCAAATCAAATATTTAATACTTATTTCATTGTTTGAAACTGACAGACTCAAAGCGTCATAGGTGCCATAAAAATTTACATATTTAGTTATAAACTCTCAGATTGATATAGGCTAAATATTTAGATGTAATTTAATTCGTACAATATTGACTTTGTGTGCTTGGATTTTTTTATTTATTTATGTATTTATTTATTGTTAGCTGATTCTGGTCTTGTAGGAAAATAACCAGCCGATCGTCACCATTCTCAGCTTTAATTCATTTGTAAGATATCCTGCAGTATAGCCGCCTTGACGGTTTAGTTAATGGCTGAAGGGGAATTGGTAAACTTTTGCACCCTTTGAGCTGTCAGCAAGACCGAAAATAATTGAACTTTTTGATAAGTTTGTAAATGATTTAGTTTGACCTCCTTGGCCTCTAGCCTCATCGTTAGAGGCAGTGCTGATAAGCTGCTCTATATTAGCCACAAAGTAGCATAATGGTTATCTGTTGATGAGTTTATACTGCCTTATTTGACCAATGCTTATCTTTGATTGTGAGGTGACAGCTTACTAAAGTGAAAAGTTATTTACGTTATTTAAAGGAAGGTGTTTTTTTCTCCTATATGAACTTGAGATATGATGAAGACGACCCACTGCACAGAAACAGGGGTTGACCTGAGATACTGCCTGATATGCTCGGTGTCTTCGGCTTGTCATCTGGTGCTTAAATGGACATGACTGTCCTTTGATGGAGGAAGCCTGTAGGTCTACCGTTTCATTTTTCTTTCTTTTTTACAGAAGCTGCTCTGACATGGCTTTTGACCTGAACTCTAGAAGATAATTGTACCAAAGAAACACATTTAAAGAAACACATCAAAACGAAAGAAAAGACTGCATTACTGAGAGAAATAATGTTATGTGTTGAGACTGATATTATTACAGCTTATAATAGGACTTCTTCACAGTGTTTTACCTCTTGTGCATATCTCTTATCCCTTCTGTAACATTGCTTCTGCGAGCCACGCTCATTTTGTTTGGCTGAAGTGCTCCATAAATACAGTGCTGTGGTCTGGTTCCTAACAGTGGCAGTGTCGCTTGCCGTCGTCTATATATACCCTGTAGAACCGAATTTGTGTGATGAAACCACAATCACAGATTCGATTCTAGGGGAGTATATGGTCGATGAAAAAACTTCGACTAAATGACTTATTGCCATCTTATTATTAGGCGTTTGGTGCCTGGCGTGCTCTCAGATGCTACAGTGACAGTGTTTGGTTTATGAATGAGAGTAACTCTGACAACACTTCACAAGAAGCGCTCAGGGCATATTGAAACTCTAGAGGCTTAAAGGAAATCCGACGCAAAGCGTTTCACATGAAAACAAACGTAATGAGGAGTCATTTCTATTTAGCTCAGTATGTTGGAATGAAATACCACATGGATTTACTCAAAGAAAGAAAGAAAAAAACCACAGCACACTCCAGCTGTAGAGTCTTCCTCCTGTGGGTCGCTTGTGTCTCTATACATTATTGATTCCCAAAGGCTGCTGCTGCTGGCCAATAGGCTCCCGAGACAGATTTTTTTTTTTTCAAAGGGATGGGAGCAGATGAAGTGATGAGAGTCGTGTAACTTTTCGATGACCCCTTCTTGACAAAGACAGTGTCCATCAATTGTCCTCAGTCATTATTCGCTGCTTTTATGCCGAGGGGCTTTTTGTATCTTTTGTTGGTTTCTCTGTTGAACACCATGCCTTCAAGTCAGACCGTAGAAACTGATATATTTTTTATATCTGCAGCAACCCTACAGTCAGTGTTTCCTATGTCTTCATAATATATCAATTTAAAGTTAAATATAAGGTTAGAATTATGTGTGATTTTATTTTTATTTTCCCAGCATGTATTTTTATTTTCCAAATGTACACGCAGATGTTTCTGTGCATTATATGTGTTTTTTTCGCCCCCGGGGTCTAATTGTGGTACATCTTAAGTCATATAAAATTGCTTTTAGTTGTATGTTTACCCGTTTATAGAACAGCATCACCTCTATTGGCCGATCTGGTCACATGGTTCGCTAACTTTATTCAGTTGACACCAAGTAGGAGGGCTTTATGGAGGGAGGAAAAAAAAGACAACTCGAGAAAAATTAGTATTTTCTACCTTCAGAAATTAATGGCCATGAGTTCGTATATGGTGAACTCTAAGTATGTGGATCCCAAATTTCCTCCCTGCGAGGAATATTCACAAAATAACTATATACCTGAACAGGGCTCGGGCTACTTCAGTCCAACGCAGGACACAGACTTTCAGCATCCAGGGATCTACCCACGGTCAAACTACACGGAGCAGCCCTTCAGCTGCAACACTGTGCAGGACTCCACAGTGCAGCCACGGGGTCATGTGCACGCGAGATCCAGCCGCTCGAGTTCTTTTAGCGCAGAGACTGAACCGGGGCCCCCGGTCCAAGTGCCTGGGTCCCCGGTCCAAGTACCCGGCCCCCCGGTCCAAGTGGCTGGACCCCGGACTTGTGGACAGCAGCAAAACACAAAGAGCCAAAATGGGATACAGTCCAAGCAGCCTGCAGTAGTTTACCCCTGGATGAAGAAAGTCCACATTACTAACGGTAAGTTTTCAGCTTCTTCTTCTCTTATGGACCAACTGAGACCTGTACTTTAGAAATCATTCAGTGTAATATTTATGAGAGTCTTTGAAAGGCCTCGCCAATTACACAAGTCATAAATTTTTATAGCTCAGGAAATAGGCCACTAGGTGAGCGCCTGAAAGCTCCGGAAAACGCGTATTGACCGGTTGTAATAGTGGTTAAATCTGCTGAAATTCAGTTAAAAATCACTCCTTATTTCCTGCTCTCGCTTCCACGTGAATGTTCTTAAAGTTTGAGCGCCCCGGGTATAGAGAGACTCCTCTCGTTGTATTGTTGTTGTTTTCCTGCATGCTGCATTGGCCACATTTGGTGACTTTTTCTCCTGTTTGTTTTCTTTCTCCTAGTGAACCCGGATTACACAGGACCTGAGCCCAAACGGTCCAGAACAGCTTACACCCGGCAGCAGGTTTTGGAGCTTGAAAAGGAGTTTCATTTTAACAGGTATCTGACCAGGCGGCGACGGATTGAGATTGCCCACACTCTTTGTCTCTCCGAAAGGCAGATCAAAATCTGGTTTCAAAACAGACGGATGAAATGGAAGAAAGACCACAAACTACCCAACACCAAGGGCAGATCCGCACCAGCCAGCCATCTGCAAAGCATCCAGAAGGATAACCAGACTGATATCACTTCATTATAAGAGAGGAGGAAGGTGTCACACCTTTAGAAATAAACTGTACATATAAAAGGCAGAGGTTGCATCTGACTTTTGCATGGACTGATGTTGTTTTTAGCCATTTTTTTTTATTTAACAAAGACCCCAGCAGTGTTGACTCAAGAGTCAGAAAACCAATCAGTCTTTGTGAGAGTGAAAGGTTTGAAAGTTCTTCATTGTTTTAATTTCTTCAAAGAGACACAAAAGCATCGAAAGAAACTTTTCATTTTTTTTTTTTGGACGTTACCCACCTGAGGACATTTAATGATCAACCTCGACTGGTTTCATGGATTTAAACAAAGTGTTGCAGCTCTGCCCACGTGGATTCACGTTGGTTTAAAGATTGAAATATCTTTATTCAGAACAGGAAAACCTTTGGTTCAAATTACACAGACACAGAGAGATTATTTCCGTTTATCTTCCGATTTAATCCTCACTTTAAATGCACAATATATACAAATATACTTGAAGGAACCAATATTTGCAAAGAGCACGCCAAACACAACCTACTTTCGTGAGTTGCAAAAAAACCCGTTGAATTTTTTGTCTACGTTTATTTGTGACTAGTATGTTTTAACTTATTTTGTACAATAAAGCTTAGATTTGTTTTAGCCTAAATATTATTCCTAAAAGCAAGACATTCCTGTGTGCATACTATTCGGAGTGCCCTTATAAATCTCTCCTGACATCTTTGTAAACAGTGTACATTTTCAGAGGCTCTCTCGTGCCATTGAAAGACTTATATGAAAGATCATTTGTTCCAGCATGGCATCAAATTGATATTGGATGTTTCTCATCGGAAAAAATCGAATTCAGAATATTTAGGAGTATAATTGTTTATTTTTTTTTAAATATGATTTGTTTACGTTATTATTTATTTGTTTAAAAAACGTGTACATTTTCGTAAAGCACACATACAATTTTAATTAAAAATATTCGTTCAACTTTAATTAATCTAAAATATGTTTGAACTCTTGTGGATTATTAGCATGGCTTTATGCAAAGTTTTAGTCTTTAGTTAATGTGGGAATCTTCTAGTTTTTCATTTACACCGAGCTAACCGAGGGGGGCTTTCACGTCACGTTTCAAGACAGATATTTCTTGTTTTATACCGTCATTGTCTTCGGACAAAAAAAAAAGCACAGAAGCTCTCCCAGTACGAAGAGGTCTTCTCTGTGAAGCCTTTGCGATGAGAGGCTTGAAAAGGTATTTCAACCGAAGGTCGACAAAGCAGCAGTGGCAGGTTCATCCAGGGGACACATTTCAGCCGCAAGGACTGACCCCAACACCCCTGACCCGCCGAACAAGGGGCATTTTCTCTCCCAGGCGCTGTTCGCTTTGGTTTGGAGGTTTTTTTTTCCACACTTAAAAAGCCAAAGCATTCAAAGCAAGAGTCAGTGCGTGAATTCCATATTTTTTACACGTGTTTCAACAGCAGGCCTATTTAAAAGCTTCTGATTTGTGCATTTGTCTCCTTATGTCAATATGCAATCTTTTGGTTTTATTTTTGTACATGCTTTTTACCTTGTATTGTGCATTGAGATGCGAGAAGTATATTGGAAAAATAAAGATTTCTACTGAATATGCATTTAAATAATTGCAGAGAGCACTTTGTCGCGATTTAAAAAATATATTTTCTCCATTTGAGAAGTAGGTATTTTATAATGTGTCTCATTGCTCAAAAGTTTATTTATTTATTTCATTTATTTTCATGGGGTTATTTAGTGCCATTCGTTTGGTGCCAATTTCAAAAGGATCACTTTTGGTGGGCAGAATGTTTCTTCGGTGGTAACACGCGTGTGGAGCCATTTGGACATTTAGCACCCTTTTACAAAACAGCCACAAATGCACCGAATGTGCGCTGCATGGGCAAATTCCGCCTCTTCTCGTGTCAAGCATGAAACTAATGAGCATAAATATATCATTGGTCTACATGAGTGTGGCATATCTTTAAAAAAAAGTGTTAAAGAACGAGTTTATCTTAGTTTCCACTTATGAGCTCTTATCGAAAGGAGCGATTGCGCTTGAAACATCCTCATGGGCTCTTAGTGGAGCTTTTCAAGGGGATTTTATTCAATGAAAACTGGGTTGTTAGAAGATTTTGACGTGTCTTTATTGCACAGATTTACACAAGTCTGTAATCACAGAATAGAAACGCACATGAGATACACTTGCCTGATTCAAACTGACATATACAAACTTTTTATGAGCAAATCCAGATAACGCCACATGTATCATTAAGTAAACATACACACATGATGAACTATTATATGAAATGGGCTAATAGGCCTATGTATTTGATATTTCCCCCTTGTGCTTCACGGGCTGTGCCTTTTATTGAATAAGACCCATAAGACCCACTACACTGACCTCCGACCCTCTACAGTGCAAAACCAGTGCTGATACAAACAAAAGTGGTCATAAACGGACATGAGGAAAGACAATCTTCAGTCACTCGGCAGTGTTTTCATCCCCAGTGACCACTGTCTCATCCCCGCTGAGCGCACGTGGGGCTACAGGCGTGCACATGGCGCGTATATGTTTGTGTACGTGTAAAATATACGCGTGTGTCATATAGATTCAGAGAGAAGCTGAGACAAAGTGATGCTACCGATCCACCATCCTGCCATAAATGATCTGCACATAGATGCTGAAGAGAGGATGAGCGAGAGAGGGGGAGGGGGAATGTGGGTGGGGGGTGGGGGGTGGTATTAGCAATATTGGAAAACTAATCTACCTAATACATAACTATTTGAGATAGTGCTGTTTATATATTCCATACAAGTTTATTTATTATTTAAAAGCTATTTAATATGGAGTCTGACCTGCTGGTATTAAAACGTGAATTGAAATTAAACATATCGCAACACCGTTCCGTACAGCAATTACCAGGTGAGAGCAGCCTACTACCACGTACAGTGTGCAGCCACACTGACCTAAATGTCTGAACAGCAATAAATGGGAGCCAAAGGCAGTGCCATTTTCAATGACACTGCACCCAGTGCAGGAATACAACGTCGTCGCTCTCCATCCGGCCATATTTGATTTCCAGCTGTTTTTTCGCAGAAGCCTCTCCGAGCCAGACAAACCCCCCTAAGATATATTAAAGTGCGCTGTCTGCATTCAGAGATATAATCCAGAGACTATACCGCTCCGCTCTCTATTCTCGACCACGTGATTGTCTAAATAATTAATGCAGCACGTCCCCCTAGAAACACGGCGTCGTCATTAATCGCAAGGACTCTATCAGACTTGAAAACTGAAGAGATCCCCCAAGAAAATAATATCCGATACCCGGCGCAACCGTAGCCCCGCACTTTAGCAACACATCCTAACCGATGGATGCTTGGGTAGGTAAATATTTCAGCATTTTTTTCATGTTGCCATAGCTGGTAAATGACGATATCAAATGTCGTGATATTTGATAAATTGTTGCCTTTTGATCTGTGCGCTCTGAGCAGGATTGCATGCTGTGGTTTGTCGCTGTACGCATGTCTTCTTTTTTATATCATATATTAGGAAAGGTAGAATGTTCGGGCTTGCTGGATTGATAGGGCAAATGGTAGAAACTAAAGGGCAGTGACATGTATTTATGGGTGCTCGCTCTGAATAAATGCTCTTTCGGACATAGCTCATTGTGGCCCCTCCACAGGGCCCACTGACTCTTTATGTTCAGATTTATACAACTTTAGTGCAAAAATAAAAAATGTACTTTAGATAGTTAAGAAACAGCGGTTGAATTACAATTTGTTTGAACATGTCATGATTTATGTAGTTAAAGTTTTCATCATAAGATGAATAAAAGGTTATATTTCCTTTTTTTGCTTGAGAGGACAGAGCTGGATTTCTACAGTTTTTCTTGTTAGTGGGGGGTGATTTGATTTTGATTTCTAAGAAGTCGTGGAAGTTTGGGCAGGCTGACAGTTCTGCCGCCTTGTAAATCATTCTCAGCAATTCCTGAAAGGGTTCGAGGCTGTTGGGGGGCCGCGCGAAAACTGTAAATCTTTCACTTTTATTACCCTCTGAACATATGCTGCGACGCTACCAGTCCTGCATTTCTTCTTTTTCTTCTTCTTCTTCTCAGCAAAGATAACCTACCGCTGAAACAGCCGACGCTCCCCGCGGCTCCAAACCGTCCTCTTCCAATCCATTCTAGTCTTTTCCAATATATTTATTTATTGGTTATCAAACCCTGCCATTTTTCTTCTTTTTTTTTTTAAATGTCTGTGATTGATATTGAAAACAATGCAGGAGAAGACAAGGCTCTCTCACTCTTTGTGTTTGAGCTGTGTGCGAAGGCAGAAACAACAAACAAAAGATGACAATGTGGTTTATTTGAATACAATCCAGCCCCAGCTGGAAGAAAATCCCCACATGTCGTTTATTTCATAAATCCTTTTCAAAATGCATGTCCCACATCATCGCAGCAACTGTGTGACTAAAATAGGACATCGAGTGGAATATAAGTATAGTACAGTAATATTATTAAAAAATACTTAACTGTGGTGCGTTTATGGCCCACTTTGAAAGTTTCATTGTGAAATTTCTCTCGAACAAATGAAGAGAAAATCTACAAAAGGCTGGAAATATCAAAGCTGCTGTAACATATTAAATACTCAGAAATGAATTATAATAACGTCCGCAAACCCACTTCCCTATATGTTGTAAACATTGCTCTGATGGAGCAGGAGAATGTTCACATCTTTATTATTAATACCTTAACAGCAGCATATAATATAATGCTTATGTTTAAATACCGAAGTGCAGGCGAGTTGCAATTCAGGGGGAGATGAAAAGAAATAGGCAGTGGAACATTTTCACACAGTTCAGATGAGGAAATAAACGCCACCCTTTATCAAAATGGATTGGTGAGGTAAGGCTCGGTTGTAGAAGAGAACAATCACGTGAACAAATATGCTTGTATCTTAAGGCAGCGCCTTTATTTGTCATCACAAAGCTTCTGAAACACCCCCAAAAAAATCCAAATCTTAGCTCCAAATGTGTACAGGCCTATCCGTTTGTGAATTCCTGTATATTTCAATGGGTGATTGATTGCCAGGGATTTTTTTTTCTGGAATAAGGATACCTTGTTCGCTTTTTATTGGTAGTTGAATGCGAGTCCTTCCATTCTTTCGGGAATACTGTCTCCATTGGTATATGGAAATGTCTGAAAAACAGCAAGATCAGGTTTAGGACAGCATTGTCTACAGACAAAGGGTGAAGGATTTATTCTAGAGACTGCATGGAAAGCAACTGAGACTGAGAGGGAAGCTGGTTTATGATGAATTGATTCGCAGGTAAGCAATCGCATGGCCGAAAGCAACCTTTAACCACGGGTTAATATAATGCAAGGAAATATATATGATTTATTCCACTCAAGGAGGTGATGCTTGTTAATGTCGCTCTCGCCGGCGACCGTGCGGATATGGAGTCCACTGCTTCTCCTCAAAGGCAGATTCGTATATTTTTTTTCTTTTTCGAGAAAGTGCGTTCAAATATTATCGACAGATTGAGCTCGAGCTGCCCAGCTGCTTTTCAGCTGATTTCACGTTTCGATGAAAACCGGCTCGGAGGAAAGAAGTAGGAGAGGAACTTTTGTTTTTGACTCTTGGATCGTAAATCACATTAATTTGTTGTCTTATCGTCACAGTGGCGTTTGCCGTGATTTATGTGGTTTCAACTATATGGCTTTGTTAACCTGCAACGTTATATTATACATGAATTCATATTGGATGTTTTGAAGGATTACCGGGCTGGATAGTGAACAAGGATTGAGGCAAATACTTAATTTTCCTACTATTTGGATACTTTTTTGGTTCACTTGTATGCGGTTAATTCTAACTCATGTGATTATTTATATATTTTTTCTTTGGTGTTGGGAATTGGAATTAGGCCCATCTCACAATATAAACGTACTAATTGTATATTTTAGTTGATTATTCTCCATATTATGCAAACAGATTTAACTGTTTTACAATGGATTATGCTTTCATTTATGTGCACTTCATCTCTATTCTAGTAACTGTGCGTCTGTGCACAACAGCTGCTGAATTTCTACCGAAATCTACAAAAAGCAGCATTACAGCAAAACCTTCTGCTGCAACTGGTTATTTCGAATTATGTTAACAGCTTTCTCCACAAACAGCAGCGAGTAGAGACAACAATGCCACACTGTTATCAAATGCAGTTATTTTTTGCATGTAACAAACATTTCAAAACAACAACAAAACGCCTCTCACGTGGTGTTTAACTTGATATGAACAGAGTTTGAGCCGCTAACCAGAATAAAAGACTAACTGGGATAATAACACTCCACATTGAGTCCGCCCCATTGTGTGAACCAAACTTACCGTAACAACGCGTAGGCGAAGAACACTGTTGTTTGAAAAGAGGACCATGTCTGCTACTAGTAGCCCAGTGTGCTCAAAAAGCACTTCAGGCGATTATCGACCAGCTTTAACAAATATTCCACATCGAAGGAATGTTAAATCTCCATGATAATATTTGAAGTAATTATCCTCCAGCGCAAGCAGGGAAACAGAGGTGGTTTCACACTCAGTAAAAAACTATTCACTGAAATTTCCTTTTTAATTTCTGATTTCTTGCCGTCGGTCGAGCATCTTCTCCTCCGTTTCAGTCACCGCTGAAAAGCTGCTTTGAATTTAGTTAAGAGTTGAGTCTACTTGTAGCCAAACTGCTAGTTGTTCATTAAACTTTGGCTTGATGCTGAGTGACCCAAAGGTCACCTGAAAAAAAAGCTTATGACTGCTAAATATTTGGGCTGCCTCTTTGTGTAAAAAGTGCACATGTAAGACTTTTTTACTCTCAAGCGGAGACTTGGGGAAAAAAAAGTGTCATATGTGGTCATTGCAGAAGCAATTCAGTCAAAATTAAACAGGCTAAAAATGTATTTATTAATTCTTCAGGAATTATTTGAATTAAAATGTGTTTTTAATTGGAGCTGTTAAAATTCAATGAATATAATTTCATGTATTCTCTGAAAGAAGACTGGGCTTGATGATATTAATCTTAATTTTTGTATAAAATATGTCTGCATATATGTCTGCATATAGCCTCGAATTTGAAGTTCATATTTGAATGTGATTAGATCTAATGTGAAGAAACATTTATTTAATTTCTCTTTCAGGTCGAGGTGGGAGCAGTGATGAATGCGTGAGGGATATAAAAGAGATTTGTGCAGATTTCGGTGAGTAACATTTCTTTAATGAAGGGAGTGGACAGCACAGTCCAACTGCTAACAAGGTGAAAGGGTGATTTGTTATTAGACTACATATTAACGCTCACAGTGTTTCACAGGAGGCTTAAATCACGAACACAGACAATGAGGGATGGCTTTAACTTCGCCTGTACGGGTAATTATTTGCGCAGGCCAGAGCCCCATTCCAACATGTCCAACGCTGCATGAACAAAAACAACTATACAGCGCACTTAATACTATTGTTTTCCACAATACATTAAAATATAAAATAACATTAATTATGTTTACATTCTTCTCGAACATTACACAAAAACATGCAAATTATAAAAAGTAAAATCAAGGAGAATTTCACCATTTCCTCCCACGATTGCCACACGTTAACCGATGCGTAATCGCCAATATCCCCTGTCTCTTTTTAAGCAGCAAACGCTCTCCAGTCTTTCACCTCGGTGTTTGGCTGCAGACTCGCGCACAGCCAGAATGGGGGCATCGTTTATAAACCGAGCCTCTGTATGGGAGAAGTCGCCGAGTATGAAATTCTTTCCCTTGCCTTCCTCCTACGCTTAGTTTTACACTTCTGAGGGCTGCGAGTCTTGAGGACTGTTTTGCTTTTCATTCCTCTCTGAGGCCATTTACAACCATAACATTCGTGGTCATAAATTTTGCCGCGGTCCACACTGACAGGTGCAATTGTTATGCACGGCGCAGGCTGCACCTCCTCAAGCCACCAACATACAGTACAGGGCCCTTTGATATTTGTGTTTCAATTTATAGTTCATGTGCGCTGGCGTGCGTTTCTCTGTTATATTCTGAAAACAAATGTTGCTGCTTTTAAAAATATTCAGAATATTTGATACATTTTCTCAGAATGATTTTTTTCTTTTCTACAATTAAAGGTACATTTTTGCATGAATGTGTTAGAGGCAGAAAACCAACCAACCAACCAAAATATGTGGGTTAAGGCATGTGTAACGGCTAATCAAATATCATATCTACCCCCCCTACCAACAACTCTCTCACTCACTCACTCCCTCCCTCACTCACTCACTCACACACACACAGACACACACACACACACACACACACACACACACACACACACACACACAGTTACTCACCTACAGTTTTATATTAACATTAATAACAGTGGAGGAGATTAACATGGAGCTTCTTGTGTGCGTAAACGTGTGATCCAAACGCATGTGCGCGGCCTTGGTGGGCGATATATTTCTGCTGCAGGGAACAATGCATGACGGGCTTTGTCAAGCCTTGTGATTAGTGAAAAGGGTATTGTGTGTACGTGTGTGTCAAATGCTGATTCAGCTTATTTCTGAGGGACTCCTAAAGCCCCTCAGAGGGTCCTTTTATCGCAAGTTAATCTTTAACTGTTGTTGTGCCAGAAATGAATCTGGGGGCTGGGGGATGTATCACAGTTAGAGACAGTTTGTGATTTCTAATTCAATAGCTGCTGCAGCACGAGTCCTGAGCCAAGCAGAGTGATTTGTCTGCTTTATTGTGAATTTAAACCCTGAATCTTGCACAGACGTTGCAGCTATGAGTGTGGGCCTTATGCATGTGAACCCAGATGAGTCTGATATAATTCTCTTTGTAGGTCACAGACTGGAGCAACGGTGGGAAACACCTATCACGTGAATAAACAACATCCATGCCACTGGATAGAGTTGCACTGGCTTATTGTCTTTGAATCCACAAAATGCAGAAAGCAACATACTACGATAACTCTGGACTTTTTGGAGGCTACACCTTCCCCAAACCAGACTCTTACAACTACGGCCCCGCTCATCAGCCATACGCTGCTTCTAGCATTGAGAATGACTACCATGGCTCCGTGTGTCCCACCCAGACCTCTGCTGTCCGGCCACCAACCCTCAAAGACAGTGACCTGAACGGAGACTGCATGCGACAAAGCAGCAGTATAAGCAACAGCAGCAGCCAAGCTACGAGTATTGGGGAGCAGCAGGCACCACCACTGTCCGCATCCTCTCCCAGCTCCAACAGCTCTGCACCCCAGAAGAAGAAATCCCCTTCCAGCAGCGCTTCCAGTACTGCCACACCAACCCTCACAAAGCAAATATTCCCCTGGATGAAGGAGACCCGACAGAACTCAAAGCAGAAGGGCAACAACTGCACCAGTGCAGGTAGAGATCATGATGGTGCGTGTGGGGGAAGGGGTAGGGGGGTGGACTGGGCCTTGTTTATGATTGCATTGGTAGTAACATGGCTGAAAAGTGGCTAAGATGATGCTGTGGTTCCTTTACAGGTGGTGAGTTGAGTGACGAGAAGAGCCCACCAGGACCTGCCTCCAAACGGGTCAGAACTGCTTACACCAGCGCACAACTTGTGGAGCTGGAGAAGGAGTTTCACTTTAACCGTTATCTGTGTCGACCTCGGAGAGTGGAAATGGCAAATCTGTTGAATCTCACCGAGCGTCAAATAAAGATCTGGTTTCAAAACAGGAGGATGAAATACAAAAAGGACCAGAAGTCTAAAGGGCTCGCGCACTCTCCCCTGGGACACTCTCCGGATAGAAGCCCGCCGCTGAGTGGCCCAAATCACATTGGATACTCTGGCCAGCTCCAAAGCGTGAACAGCCTCAGCTATGACGCGCCCTCGCCCCCGTCCTTCGCCAAACCCCAGCAAAACATGTACGGGTTGGCCGCGTACACGGCACCCTTGGGTGGCTGCATCCCGCAACAGAAGAGGTACCCGGGCTCCGAGTATGAGCACCACGGCATGCAGAGCAACGGCAGCTTTGCCAACGCCAATTTGCAAGGCAGCCCCGTTTATGTGGGTGGGAATTTTGTTGATTCCATGCCAGCCTCTGGCCCCATGTTCAACCTCGGCCACCTTCCCCACCCCTCATCCACGAGTGTGGACTACAGCTGTGCCGCTCAGATCCCAGGAAACCACCATCATGGACCCTGTGATCCCCATCCCACATACACAGACCTCACCTCTCACCAAGCGTCTCAGGGAAGGATTCAGGAAGCGCCTAAACTCACGCATTTGTAATATGTGGTTTCTGTGTGTGTGTGTGTGTGTGTGTGTGTGTATGTATGTATGTATGTATGTGTGTGTGTGCGCGCGCGCGTGCGTGCGTGCGTGTATGTGTGCCAAAATTATGTTGCGCTCTTTTTATTACCTCACTAGTCTAATAACTACACTCCAAGAGAGTCGTGTGTATTATTACAGTATTGTTGATATTACTATTAATGCTATTGTGTAATTATTTTCTGAATAATGCAGCTTTGTCCATTTCTGTTGAATATTTGGGGATGCGTAGAGGCAGAATAGCCTGGTTGTCAGTTGTTCCTTCTCTTTGTTTATTTCTGAAGTGCAATGCCCAAATTTTGACTGAATATTTCATGCCGTTACTTGAAGGTAAGTCTTGTATCACGAAAGTAGACGCTCATCTTTAGAGGCAAGGACTTTTGTAGGGAAATTTTCGTCTGTTTTGTAGGATCTCATTCTCCTCACGGGCATCCTATTTATTTATTTTGTATTATTTTGCATAATCTTTCGTATTAGCATATAGCCTATTTATTATTTAATTACTTTTTGTATTGCACATTATTTATCGTTTATATGCGAGTATTTATAAATGTGGAGTTTTTTGTAAGATTGGACAGATCAGTGCACTTGGAAGTGTTGGCAAAACAGGGTTTGAAAAAAATGCTATGACTCGCAGTGTATTGTTGAAAGAAGAGCATTTCTAATTGTAAATCTGGGATGAATGGGACATTTGATAGTGTATAAACTCCACTATATGTCCATGGTTAATCTCGTGTCAAACCTAAAGCAAAACGTAGACTATCGAAGTATGAAATATTATACACACCAGCATGTCATTTTGTGTCGTCCATTACTATTTTTTATCTGTCTTCCATTGTTATTCCATTCAGTCGGATATCCATAAATTTATGAAACCCTAATGATATTGAAATGTTATATTTTATTGTGTTTAACATTTTGTAAATAAAGTGCTCAAACTTGTATTTTTTATTGCATTTTTTTAAACACCCTGCAGCACTGGTCGCCTACTGTATCAAATTATTTGAATTCCTCCCAGTGAAACTGTCAGGTAAGAGTACCGAGGAGGCTTATTGACTCCACAACTTTACTGTACAGTCCAAATCAATAATTAGACACCAGGATATCTAAAACTCATCAGACGGCTCTATGCTTCCAATGCAAAGTGTATTTCAGCAGGATAAAGGGCTCTGGAGATTATTGATGTTTCGTTGGTATGATGGAAGTGAGTCTATGGGCTTATTGCATTTCTCACATGTCACTTATCATTTTTCAGACTCGGCCACATGATTATCTGCTAGGACAAGAGAAGAAGCTCCATTTTCCTATAGACCAAAGTCTAATCACTGGCTGTCTAATTGATTGGTACACATCTTCACAATAATGTTTCATAAATTGGCGGATTGGAAGTAAAGAAATATGCCCGTGTATTGATGGGTAAGGCAGAGCAGATTGGTGACAATAAAAGCAAAAGAACAAAAAAAAACATACACTTTGACATTGGAAATGATGCAACGATGGATATACGTGTATTTGTACGTGCCTGTGTGGGAGAGAGAGAGAGAGAGAGAGAGAGAGAGAGA